ATACATGTACTTGTTCTGCATAACACTTGTAAGAACACATGTTGGTTTGATTCCCATTCTAAAATAAGGAGGTGTGAAATAGTATTTTGTAAATAGTTATACACATTCTGCATAATAATATTACATGTTGTGTATCCTGATACTATATATAGTGGTAATTACAACCAAAGCTGCTAAGAATTTTTCAGTACTCTTGCAGCGAAACACTTTATTCACATTCAATGTGATGCGGAGCTCAAGTATGTTGAACTTGTTCCCTGCCTTTCCCAGTTGCTTTTTGGGTTTCAGGCAACTACGTTTACCTCTCTGGGTCACAGTTTCCTCATGTTTATTAATAGATATATGATGCAGAATTCCTTGCTTGTGGAATTGTTCAAAGTATCAGAGCACTTGAAGGTCGTAGAGAATAACAGGGTAGCCTATTGTCTCTTCCTCAGGGGTTTTTGAAGCATTTCAATTGTGATAAATGGAAGTTCTTTGACATTGTGCATCATCAGAATCTTGTAAGAATGATTTTGCTTTGTGTTTTATATAATTACAGCAAGCAAATACATCTTTTTGTTCAACATGTTTACAGAATCTAGTCCAAGAGAGCCCAAGCTTTTGAAAGAGATCTATCAGTAGTGTTAATTATAAAAAACAATCATAGAAAGCAGCCATTAATTTTGCATCTACAGTTATTTGCAGGTGCAAAGTGAACCATGCATGCAGTAGATGTACACGGATTGAAATGCTTCCGTTTACATATTCAGATAATGCTGAAAACAGTCATTGAGATATGTGAAAGCATCAGAAAGATCAAGGCCTCTTAAAATCAGCGAACTTAAAGTATGGCTTGCACAAACTGGCAGAGTAAAGGCTCGAATGAGTGTACATCTCATAAAGTTTATTGCTAGTTTTGTGGAGAAGTGGTCTTGCACTTCTGAATGTAGAGAACACATTAATCTAAAAAAAATGGATATCCTATCCAGAAAAATTTATTAAAAAAAAAAGCTCATGTTATGGAGCTGAATGAGAAACTCACAGTTGCAGAATTATTCAATATATGCATACATATTTAAGACTTTTACTGATCTTTATGTTACAGGCAGTATTATCCTCCAGATGTACCCTACTGCACTATACCAATTAGCTTTGGATTTAGCACAGTAGGTGTGAACCACTTTTATGAATATTGTTCTGTTGGGATCACTTAGAAAACTCTTTGATTTTCATCGGCTGGTGATTGATTGTATGCCAGGTTTTATCACAAGTGGGTAAAACCCCCCTTTTTAACCTATTTAATAGGAAATATTTGCTAAAATGCTTTGTATAGTGATAGTAACTCTATCCCAGCTGAAACCAGGACACCAGCAAAATTGTTTGAAGGTATTTTATACTAAATTTTGTCAACTTTGTTTTGAGGATATTAATAGAAATATTATATATGTATATAAAAACATATATTTGTATTTATTTACTCAGCTTTGTGGTTTGTTAATGTTCACTTCTGCAACATAGCTAAGAATATTTAGGTTTGGGCAATACATTGAAGAAGTTGAAAATACTAAAATTTCTGTAGAATAAATGAGGGACCTAGGTTTGAATGCCACTGAAAATGGAGGTGATGAAAGACAAAAGATATCACTTGTGTTAAGATTTGAGTTGTGTCTTACTTCTGTATTAAGGAAGAACAAAGATATGTAAGACAGGTAGATATGGCACTTAGGGACATGGTTTTAATGGTGGACCTAATCGTGTTAGGTTAATGGTTGGACTCAATGATCTTAAGTTGGTTTTTCAACGTATATGATTCTATGATTCTGTGTAGAGGACAATGTTAAACTTTCCTCTCCATTATCTAATCAATATTATAATCAAAAAACTATTGTCATGAGTGTCTGATTATAGATGAAGTAAAATTCATGATTTTAAAGGTTATAAAATGATTTCTGGAGTAACCAGTGGTCCCAGAAATGGTATTTTGGAATACACATTACTAGACAGCTAAAGACAACTTGAGAATTTAAAAAGCCTCACTGTAGTTGTTACAAAGACTCAGACTTTGTTGAGCAATAATCAGAATTCTCAAAACTTGTTGGATTTATAGAGATGCCTGCAAACTTACAGTTAAGCATGCCTGTTAGATCAGGAGTAACCCTAGTACCTCCAGATGTAGGCTGCAGTGATGATGTTGGGATTCCCTTCTGTATTAAATGTAACTTGTGAACCTGCAATATTTCTTCTGGAGAACAAATTTAACCTCAAACTGCTTTCTGAGTTCTGACTTCAGGTTGCAGCTGTGGGCTCTGTAAATTACATCACTTGGATTAAGTTAGTAATGAAAAAACTTGTTATTTAATTGTGAGTTTCCCCAAAAATAGAAGGCAACTTTTTTTTTCATAATGTGGTGTTCGAAGAATATTACACTCGAGATTTCTACTATAAACTTTGGATAACTCTTCTATGCACTGATTTCATAGATTATCACATATGTTGCTTTGCAAAATACAGTATGATGTAGAAAGACTTTTATTTCCTCTTCCACTAGACCAGAAGAAGCCACTACACTGTGTATTTGTTGTAATAGTAAGGCACAGCCTCTGGGAGTTGTGAACATGGAGTATTTGTGAAAATCAGGCAGTTTCTGTCAGAATAAGCATCCAAGTTAGAGAGATTTTGGCTTCAGTGTGGGGCTGTGTGTATATATGTAAATTTAACTTTCTTACACTTATATGTAGGACTTCTAAAGACCCTTTCACCCCTAGCAAGGCCTTTAATATTTCTTCTGTTTGAGGAAGAGTATGCCATCCTGAGCCTATCTGGCAGTCTTGAACTGTAAAGACTGCCAGTATATAGGATTGAACTGGCACCATTATTCTTGAGAGGTCTTGTTCAGTCCTATAAATGTCAGTTTAACTTACTAGTAATTGGTTTCTCAGGTCAAAGACCTGCACAGAGTACTTGAGTCAAAATTGCACTATGTGAGGGAAAGAAAATGCTCACTCAAAACCAGTCTTCTCTTCTCAAAACAAACAAGCAGTAGCTCCCAAACCCACTCCTGACCCTCTTCTCCCATAATATAGTGTTATTACTTCCAGTTCTCAACAATGGTTCACTTCTAGTACAAAAGTTGTATTGCCAGTGACAACAATACACTTGAACACGTGTACAGAAACTCCATTAAGCAGCATTGTGTATAGTCTTGTCAACTGTAACTAGAATGTGCACACAATAGTTTTGATGGGGGAGTGCTGCCTAGAAATGTCTCCAGGTGAGATGCGGTTACCCCTGCTGACAAGAGCAGGACTAACACTGTCCTGTTCTGTTTTCTGTAACTAGGCAGTCACTTTTGGTTCTACTGACTGCTGTGAAACTGATTCAGTGCATTTCCATGACATGCACCATTATCAGAAACTAGTATTAGCTGGCAATGTATGCAGGAGTTTAACCCTAAAGCCTTTACAAGCTATTTAGGTCTACAGATTGAAAAAGTCAGTCTTTGTTCCTTGAGGCTGTAAAATTTCATCATGTATATGTTTGGGTCTGTACAGATAATAATGGCCAGAAAAACATGGAAGGGAAACATACGCTTTGTACTGGAATTATGTCTATTGCATATTGTGGTAAAAATGGTGTCTTGGTGAACATACTGTACTGATGATGAACTTTCATTAAATGAAATGCACCATATGGTGCAGAATGCTGCTGTTCTGCCTGTTTGTTATGTGTGTATTTCTTACATCCTTTTCTTTCTGATACTGCATGATGATGGGAAAGGTATTAAGTTAGCTAATATAAAATTTCTGATTTATATCACCAGATCTGTGTGTGGTGGACAAATGCTTGCCATCATAAATGATTAAGCTTACAGTTTTTGTTAGGAATGAATTGATTATGTGTTAATATTTACATCTGTAGCTTTGCATTTGCAAGTACAAACATGAAGGCTGGTCTGGAGGTTGGCTGAAAATCTGGTCTTGCATATTCTATGAAAAATATTATTCAAATTTCTCACAGGTGAATAAACCTCATGCATGGATGAATCTAGTTAATTCAATGGTTTAATAAACCTAGAATCCCAATGAGGCTATAACAAATCCCCCTGGTATCTTAGAGTTATTAGAGAGATGTATAAAATAATATGCAAGCATAAAAGCTCCTTCTATATTTGAGGAGCCTTTTGCTCATTATATTTTTGTTCTTTTCAGTAAATGAAGTAACTTATCTGTGGCTCAGTCATGATAAAGTATTAGATCAGTTATCATTTGAGGTCAATATCTAGGTTCAATTTCTGTCTGACTAGTTTTTTTTTCCTTTGGATAGTTTGTTTTTGAAACAGTTATGCAGCACTAAGACTGATGCCTTTCCATTAATGTTCCTTTGAAAAAGATGGATAGCTTGAAGTGGAAATTTCTGGAAATCCCTTGTCAGGGAGAAGCACCTTGTCATAAGGTGCTCCATTTTCAGACATGAAATGTGTGAATCCTGGATCAGAACCAATTCTCTATTTAGAAACATAGGAATTAGAAGCTGACAAGGACTGACTGAATTAGCAGAACAACTGGAACTAATAGGACTGCATAAATTATTTGAGTGCTAGGTTTAAGGTCATTGTACTCACTTATAATTTGGACAACTAAGCAATGTAATGCCTGGTCAGATTTGGATGTTAAACCTTCCAGGAAAGAAATATCATACAGGAAATAATAATTCTGCACTAGGTTCCTTTTGCCATGTTTTACTACAAACTAAAATCCTGTTGTTCTTCACAGCTCCTGAAATGGGGAACAGGATCTGCCTTCGTTTTCCACTGAATTAAATAAAAAGGCAGGTAAAGCAGTGCTGACTGATGTAAATCTCCTCGCTTTAAGATGCATATACAATTTTACAAATATACTTGGAACAGAGTAGCAGGAACTTATATTCAAAATTTTCAATTAGTGAAGTTATGTGGAGTTCAGAGGAGAAAATAATGAAGGGGAAGAAAAGGATGACAGATAAGGAAACTTTCCACTGAATGTACTCCGCTATAAAATTGTAATGTTGTTAATAGGTGAGGGAGAGTTAAAATGCACAGAATGGTAGCTAAATACATGGAAAGTCATATACTCTGCCCTGGTTTAGAAGGTCATAAGTTTATGAAATTGGAATGCAGCTGAATTGATTGAGATCTGATATTCATTATACTTCAGCACTGATGGCAGAATCCCTTCTAACCAGACGTGCATAACATGTTTTCTTAGCACTTTCACAAAGCCCAGAGTTTATAATGACAATTAAAGTGCATCTTTTCCCAATAATTGCACAGTCTGAATTTGGTCTGTGGTAATAACTTTAAAAAAAACCCTAAATACCACATTTTAATATTAGAAATCCACTTAATTATAGGAAATCTCTGGCTCTGCTTGTCACCTGTATTAACATTTATATTTCTTATTGAGTCTGCAATATAATTTCTGGGTTTTGTCATGGCCATCCTTCTAATATATATCCACAGCCTCATGTAGGACATGGCTGACAAACAAACTCCTTATTTATCTTTGCTTTATCTTATTTCGTCCGCCGAGAGTGGCAGTATGAATAGTAAACATCCTACGTGAAGGGCCAAGATAACAACCTGAACAAGCACCAGCCTATTGTTGTCTTCAACATCGGATTCTTTTAGGAATGAAGACTTGATTTGCATACATGTTTCTGTAAGCTGGGTACTGTCCTGCAAGACTTGCTTCCTCAGCAAAAAGAGCTTACCCGAAAACGCAGTGCCCCAAATTCTGTTCACCGTTTGGAAGAGGCAGCCAGGTGGGATTTATTTCTCCCAGGAACTTTTCTTTTGCTCATTGTTTTCCACACCAGGCTATTATGTTGGTAAAATATTTATAGCCATTATGATGAAAATTGCCAGAAAGTGAATTTGCATTCTTTACCTTTTAACTTTATATTTTTTTCTCAGGGCTTTGAAACATTGCTGTGGTTTTGGCTTGCCTCTCTGTTCTTTCTACCCTTTTCTGTCACACTCAGTAATTGGCCCAAGAAAAGGCAGAAACAAGAAATTATTACACCTTGGGCAATACTTGAAACAAACTTTATTTGCTGGAGCAGCACTTTTTATCTACTTGCTGCTGTATATTTTGACATTCTTCTAAATATTAAATTTGACTTTATTAAAAGTTAAATCTTGGCCTTTTTTTTTTTTTTTGGTAATTGCTCCTGGTTTTGCAGTTTCTTAGGCAGACTTGTACATATATAAACATATTTTAATGAAGCTTTTGGAAAAACAATATAAGCTGCGACTATATCTACTTCATTACTGCCAGAACCCACAAAAATGGAATGAATTAAAGACTAGATTCTGTAATACACTGTAAATTAGACTCAGAATAATTTCTGCAATGAATTGAGAGAACAAAGGTGAGAACTATTAAACTTTTTATATGTTTTCCAAGCTTGGGACTTGACAAAATATTCCTTTAACAAACGACTCTCTTTACCTTTAAAATTGTTTGCAAAAATAATGACAGTAGTAAAACCGAAACCAGGTTAGAATGCTATGATAGAATATCTACTGTTGAATCTATTTTTTAGGTGGAAAAAGGATCAAATTTTTTTTGTTTGCTAAAAAGGCCTTAAGAAATAGCAATACATCATCCTGGAACTGTTTATGCAGGAATTTTTTATTCTTTGAAATCTTCCAGTGTTAAAGCAACAAGAAAACATTTAGAATGTCCTTTGGTGGAATCTTATTATGCTTGTTATATATGTAAACTGATATTCTTTGATGCCAGCACGTTGCCCATACAGAGAAATCTCTGCGCAATTAAACGAAAGGAAAAAGAAAAGGACTAAATAAAAAGTAATATTTTTCTCTTATCTGATTAGAGTTAAATACATTAACAAATTGTCTGGTAACACAAATAGGCAATAATACAAAAAATCTACATTGTACATTATTTCAAGAAAAATAACTTCATTTGAATACAAAAGGATAAATACACTTTTTGTCCTATAGTCACTCTTGTACAGTATGTGAACACAGCATCTTACTGATGCAGTGCTGCTAAGGTATACAAGGATATGACTGGCTTGAATTTTATTGAAGGGGCTGTTACACATGTGCATCACTAACATCAGACAAAGAAATCTTTCAACCAACAAGGGTTACAGAGCAACGTTCACTAAAGCACAGGTTGGAAAGGTTTTGGGGACTGAAGCAGGCCAATATGGCAGCTTTTACAGATTTCCTTATACCCACAATGCACTGACAGCAAAGAATGCCTTTATTTGGTTGGTCCACATACTGGGCAGAGGTACAGTCGTGCACCATACAGGAGTAGCAAATGTTTTTTAGCTCCGATTCCCATCCTGGGGGCTGTCAAAGGTGTCTCAGTCCTGTGTAAGCTTTGCAGCTGGCATTGATTTGACAGAATAGGCAGCCACCAACTTGTCTTGCGCCAGAGGTGAACAGTCTTGACCCATAGCCCTGTCCGTAACTGATTAATATGGCTTAGTTCAGTTAGGCCTTCTTAGTTTGTATGTGGTTGTTTTTTCCTCTCTTTTTTCCTTTTTGAATTTCAGTAGCAAACGCTTGGATTTTGTTTTGTTTTCATGTGGCACATTCATTTGGAGTAGTCTGAATGTGATGCCATCAACCATACGGAGTCTAGCATATGCAAAGCCCAGTTGCACCTAGTAGAGCAGTCAGCAGTAATAGAGGCCTGTGTGATATTGCCCCCTGGCCGGAGTTTTGGCTGCAGCCTCCTGGATCCCTTTCGCACTTCAACTTCTCGCATAAAATGCCAGTGTAAGCTGGAGGGCACTGGCATCGCACATTGTTGATGCATGTTCCTCCATTCTGGCAATGCAGTAGTTCATTGTCACATACATTTGCTGCAAAGACAGCAGGGGAGGGAGGGAAAGAAAAGTAGAATAAATATAAGTCCATCTACAGTAGAAACACTGCACTAAACCCATGAAATCACTGCTGCTTCTTCTCATCCTGAGATGTGAAAACAGGGGATGTGGGTTTTTTAAGCATTTCAAGTCTGAAATTTTTATTTTATTTGCATTTTCTCATAATATCCCCCCCCCGTTTTTTTTTTTTCTTTAAACTGTAGTATGGGAAAACCATATAATTGACTTCAGACCACTTACTATGACAACATTAATGAGTTAATGTGAATTATGATTAATAATGAAAGAATATGAATATTAATACCTGCCTTGTGCCACTGTCTGCTTTTTTATAGGCATTACTGTACTGGAACTATAGGTGGGTATGTCACTATTTGAAGGTGGCAAGGTATCTAGAGCTTTTGGAAAGCATGAACAGTGGTTAAAACTCCAATGTAATTTTGCTGAAGTAAAAAGATCTGTGTGAGAAAGTGGGTTTTATAATTGGGAACTGCACGTATTAATGATCTGAAAAAATTATGCAAAAAAGAAGGCAAGCACAGGCAGGAAATTCAGCATGCTATTTGATGGGGATTATATGCTATATACATATGGAAATAAAAGAGGCTGTTATTTCCATTACAGATCAAATATTGCTTCTTAATTAGATTTGCTACTTTGGTAGCTGGCACCTTAAGCTATCTTATATATTTAGCCTGATATAACGAATTCCAAATTCAGATTTGACAGAAGAGAAAACAATGCAGGCAAAAGTTTTATTGTATTTGAAAAGCTGGCAGCTGTACTTTGTATTACTTGGTATCAATTGAAATATTTCACTAGGTAAATATGTAGACATATGAGGAACATACTACTTAAATGTGTGAATCTGTGTTTTATTGCAGACAATATCACTAGTAGAATATATGCTAGGTTCCAGCTCTGTCTTCCATAAGAAAGGCGATCTTCGTAAAGAATTAGCACCTACTATCTAGGCAGAATGTAACAGTAAAGATTTTCACGCAGATCATTAGGGAAGGTTTATTTGGTTTAGAAGCAGACTCAATATTATATGCTGTTTATGCATACCTTAGCCTAGAAACACCCTAAATAATTCAGAATAGAGAAAATATTGTTAATTTTGCTTTAAACATTGCTATTTATTGCTAAACAGAGCTACAGTTTTATACATCTTAATTTAGCTGTTTTTAAAAGCAACCCATATAATCTGAGAACTAAAACTGAAAGAGTGCAAGTTCTGAAGTGACGTATTTCTACATAAATCTATACAATTTTGTGCACCAGCAAACTTCCTGATTATCTTACCTGTTCTGGCTTGCTTTCAGAAAAATAATTTTCTCAATCTAGGATTCTCTAACAACTGCTTTCTAATGTTCTGTATCCACATGGGCCAAATAGCAACTCGTCGTACTAGAAACTGACAGGTGCAGCTGGGAGAAAACAGTTAAATGATCTTTTTCAGTGATTCCTTTAGCAATTGAAGGTTTTTACAAGAGCTATGGATTTAACGTTGTCCAGTTTCTGAATTGTAATTTGAATATTAAGGTGCAAAGAACCACATATTATTGATGACAGTTTGAATGTCTGAATTTTAAGTTTTATAAGTTACAAAGCGTAGTGTTTATATTATGTACAAGGAATCATAAATCACTGGAAAAAAAAAAAAAAACCAACCCAGAAAAATATGTTAACAGGCTGAAAAAAACCCCTCTATTTTTGAAGTCAATATTTGAGTTAGATCTCTTCATAACTAAAGCTATGTATCTTTGAAGCTGACTTTATTCATATTGTATGTGTTTAGCAGTATCAATGTGCAAAACCTGATGGTACAGCTACTGAATCTGCTTGTCTTAGGCTACTTATTGCTGGGATGCTTCCTGCAGTTCAGGCAATGGAAATGCGAAATATCTGTCCCATCAATACTGACTATTGTTTGCCTTGAATAATGGAGTGGAATTCAATGGCTAATTAAATACCATTTCTTAAACAGCAGATGGGATATTTCACTTTGTGTTTGTCCTAGAATACATTATCAAGATTTTCCCTATTTTCCCTATGTAGCTGAAAATTCTTGAATTGTCAATCCTGTATTTTCACAGCCTCCTTTCCCTTAGTTTCATCTTTGCACACACATATGTACACACATATATGTATCATGTAGATAGCAATTGTGATTTGGAAGTTAAATGAAACAATCTGAAAATGTCCTGAAATCCTATTATTTATTTTTGCCAATTTTGTTTTATTTTTATTCTGAGCAACTCTAAAACCATTTCCACCTTCCTGAAAGCATAATTAGGATTACTTTTAAAACTCGTATTAAATAACCATGTTTATTGAGTTTAGGAATTGGATTAGCTATAGCTAATAAGTGTAGCACATCAGCAGCATAAAGAAAAGCACTTTGACTGGAATTTAAAACATAGTTTATGCCTTAAACTGAAGTAGTCGACATGGTGCCAAGACCAAAGCAAGACAAGTATATAAAATGTTGTTACAAAAATTAAGAATGTTTCTAATGTTAACACAGTATTTTTTTTAGGTTATGTGTTATACTGTATTTCATAATTGGCTCTAGGCTTTTCTCCGTGAAGGCAGTGACCTGGGAGGTGTTGAGCAGGGGACAAAGGGCAAGGACCTTGCAGACCCCTTGCACTGCGTTGAAGCCCAAAGAGAGCTGCTGGTGCTGGTGGGTGCAGGTGGGGCTGGTGGACCCCCAGCCTGTGCTTGGCCCTTGACTTTTTCATTTCCCCAAGGAGCAGGAACAGTGAGGTTTACAAAACAGGGCTTTCTTGCCCATTGCACCCCTCTTACCTTCTACTGCCTGACATGCCCTTACCCCTTCTTATACTCCAAGCAGTGAAGTGCTGCCTCCACCGCTGAGAGGTGTTAAACAAGCTCTGCTTTATCTTCATCATTAAGAGTAACAATAATGAAAAAATAGTTTGAATTAATCTGAAAGGTATCAGGTGTTAAGATCAAAGAATGAAAAAGAAATAATGCAAGTGAAAGAACTAATTCTGAAGTAATCACACATGACTGTTAAGACTCGTGTGGATGAGCTAGCTGTGGGTTTGTTGGTAGATCTTCATTATTAGAAGACAGGACATAAAACTGATCATTAAGAAGCAAAACAAATGTATCATATTTGCCTTGGAGGACTTTGCAGACCTTTTGGGGAAATGTTTCTGTGCACAGTCTCCAGATCTGTGCTACTGTGGGAAATGAAATATTTAAAGTAAAATAAAGGAAAATTTTTAACGTTATTTTCATAATTCATCAATTTACAATCTAAGCTATGGTCTGATTATGGGATCCATAAAACACTCTACAAAGGAGACAGAAAAAGCCACATGTCAAAATGGATAGCTATTTGAAGCTTTTCTGTCCTTGGGGCGACCCCTGCTCCTCACCCTCAAACCAGCAATCTTATGCAATTAGTAAGAGATATTATCATTTTTAATGAAAATGTGTCTTTTCCAAGGTAATTATTAATAAAATACTGAAGCCTCTTTCTTAGGGTAATACCATTATGAGTGATGATGAAAGATGTCTTTCCATAAGTCAAAATATTATTGATTTGTAATTACAATGTTATTACATTTGGAAAAGGAATAAAAAAGGAAAATGAGAGAAATATCCAGTTTTTCAACCAGCTCAAGCAGTTCAAGGTGTAAATGATGTGCTAGTGTTTCACAGAATTTATATTGGATGTTAGACAAAATGTATTGAGACTAGCACAGTTGTCTGACAAATGCCTCCTTTCCTCTTAAATGCTCAAACCTGAATAATACATGAAAATTTCTGAGGCTGATCAAAACATAACTTTAATACCTTTGCAGCTTCTTGAAAGAAAAGAAATAGATAGCTGTGGTTAGTTTTATTCTAAGGCAGCAATATAGACATAGTAATGCGAGTGGAAGTCTTGTTCTCTTCGATCTGGTGGGCCACCTCAGGCACAGCATTGTGCTGCTGGCTTTTGTTCTTTCCTACTGCTGTGTCTGGGCAGCTTCAGAGCACATGCCCAGGGCTTTTGGTCTGCCTGGTGCTCACACAGAAAACCAATATTCTATCTGACTTAAATAAAATTTCTTTTACCTTTGTCTTTCACAAAGGCCATCCAAGAGGGGAAAAACTAAATCCTGTGCCTTCCTTTGTGCTGCCTTAATTTTTGTGCAGCTTGCCTACAGTAGCATCTTATTCAGGTGGGTCAGCCACATGAAGATGAGAAAGGACAGGCTATTGACTTAAGGAAAGAGAAATGAATATATTCAAAAGGACATCTTTTCTGATCTGGGATAGATGGTGTTCTCTTTCTTCATCAAAACCTGGGTTTATTATGAAATTTTCATTGTTTGTGGGAACAGCATAAGGACTATTAATGACAAAGTCACAGAAAGAAAACTTTTTATTAGATGTCCTTGCTTCCTTTCTTAAATTCTGAAGTCTTTCATTTCAAGCAATGTTTTGTGTGATCTCTTCCATCACTGTTTTTCTTCAGCGTGATTTTTTTGCAGTATCATTTGTTACAGCCTTCCCTCTCCCTCTCTCTCTTTTAAAAACCATTTTCTTCACTTTTCTCCTTTTTGTCTCCCAGATCAGTATTATATTCCCTGGACAGGTTGGTGAGTTGACAGCTCTGAATATATTATACAACATTTTGCTCTATTTTAAAGCACTGATGCAAGCTTTGACCCTACTTCTACTGCAGTGAATTTCCCATGCTGTTCATCAGTAGTTTGTACCAATGGCACTACTGAAATTATAAGAAGCTTCTGACTTTGGATTCCACCGTTGTTCAGAACTTTGAAAGCATGCAGGTTTAGTGGTTAAAGAAATTATTCTTGACTTTTTTTTTTTTTTTTGTCCCCTCTAATGCATGTTTCCTTGGTACTTTTTATTTTGTAAAATATTGTTATTTGAATTTACTTATGAGTAAGTGTTCAACACACATGATAACAAAATATTCTGCCTTG